ATGGACTGACCCAAAAGCCTCAACAATGGGTTCAGATGTATCAAAGATCACAGAGATGGCACAGGGCCAGGCAAGCTTTCTTTCTGTCGTACAGAGGTCGTTGTCTTAGTCAGCTAGTGCTTGTTAGAACAGAAACACCATGTGTGGGTGCCTTTAACAAGCAGAAATTTATTTTCTCACAATTGAGGAGGCTAGAAGCCCAAATTCAGGGTGCCAGCTGGTTTTCTCTCTCTGTGAGCTCTGGAGGAAGGTCCTTGCCTCTTTGAGCTTCTGCTCCTGGGCAGTCTTCGCGTGGCTTGGCGTCTTTCCCCCCATTTCCGCTTCTCTCGATTGTTCGTTTCATCTCTTTTACATCTCAAAAGAGATTGCTTTAAGACACACCCTACACTAATCCTGTCTCATTAACATAACAAAGACAACCCATTCCCAAATGGGATTATAACCACAGGCATAGAGGTTAGGATTTACAACACATATTTTTGTGGGACACAATTCAATCCACAATGGTCACCTTAAGTTGGGGCCAACTCCACATCAACTAACAACAGAGAGAGTACACATCATGCCGAAGATCACAAAACCAGTAGTGGAGAAATTCAAATCTAGGCCAATCTAATGCCAGGACTCATGCTTCGGTCACTAAAATTCCAGTAGGAAGTTTATTACAATCTACTTGTTAGCATGTACTCTAAACCAACAACCCATTGCCGGAGAGTCGATTCTGACTCATAGCAATCCTATAGAACAGAGTAGAACTGCCCCACAGAGTTTCCAAGGAGCAATTGGTGGATTCGAACTACTGACCTTTTGGTTAGCAGCCAAGCTCTTAACCACTGTGCCACCAGGGCTCTACCTGATTATAAAAACATATTCCTGACTCCAACGCAGTTGGAATGGCATTACAGCACAGCTTTGAATTGTCTACTGGTAAGACCACAGCCCCCGAAACATAACAATATGGTTAGGCTGTAAGACAAGTGTGGTTTGGGCCTAAGCCCCAGGGCTATTAAAGGATCCTGCTATTAGCTATGGAGAGGTCAGCCATTATCTCCGAAGGAAACTGAGGCCCAAAGAAAAGGAATGATTTTTCATCCATTCTTAGAAGTGGAAATAGAATTGCGCCTCCTTGCTTCTTACTGTATGGTCTAAATTAGCTCTGTCCAAACACTGCCACTCATGGGCATGGAGGATTAAGAAACCTAGTCCCAGAAAAGGAATCTGAACAAGATACAATCAACCTTCCACCTGCCCCTGGGCTGCGGCCCAAGGCCCACAAATGGATGTTATAAAGAGATGTTCACTTTAACACCTACCTTACCCTGAGCTCTCTTGCCCAACGTTTTGCATTAATAGAGACATCAAGAGAGATGTTTGTCACTGCTATTCTTGCACAAGGCTTTTTTTGGCTTCTGTGAAAATAGAAGCATCATGAATTACAGGCTCAAACATGCCCGCATTCTTGGCAAAGCAACGGAAGAATCTCAGGGGCCAAATTGGCCATAGAGCATCTACCAAATAGATATTTTATAGCTGCATTTCATAATCCACAAATACATGAAAGAATGTGCCATGGTATCAGAATGCCAGAATAGATTTTACAAGGTTTTATAACCGTGTTATGGTAACCTTGCAAATCAGGAAGAAGAAAAGAAAGTCTCCATTTATCAAAGAAATTTGTGTAGCCCATCGATTCCATAGAAGATGTGAGGATAAGAGGGTTCTCTGATTTCAAATCAGAGATCTGGTCTAAATTCTTACTCTGAAATAGCAATTTGTTTAGCCCAAAATTTAACCTCGAGTTTCTTATCTGTAGAGCGGAGATATAAGAGTTAGTTTCCATAATTGTTGCAAGGATCCGATGAGATCATTTGTGGGGAAATACTCATTGCCCAGTAGGTATTCAATGTGCATTGGTCGGGGTGAAGTCTGAGGGTGTGTAGAGAATAGGGCTAGTGATCATCACCTGGCACCATCTCTTGTTCACTAGGCAACTGTTAAGAGAGAATCAAGAGTCAGTTCATCCTCAAGCAAAAAGTGACAACCACAAGGCACTTCATATGCCTTTATTACCTAACTTTGACATCTTCCGTAGAGGATTAGGGCAGTGGGTAAAATTCCAAGAGCCATTACTGCATGATGACAGCGCATCATGCTGATTGTAAACCCAGCCTGCTCCATGGAACAGATCGTTCCCTTTGTCCATAAAGCATTTTCATTGCTTTCGAGACAGAGACTTCCTGCTGCAGAATGGCTTAGATTTACATGCTTACACTTGCTAAGCATGGACACAAGAATCTGCTTTTAGATGCCACTGACTGCGTGAGGTTTCTCATCTCCATTCTCATCGCTTTGAGTTTTCGTCACTCGTGCCCTGGAGCATAGAATAAAGGTAACAGGAAACAGCCCCAGGCAGAGGCAACCCTAACTCAATGGCTTGGCAACTGGCAAATGTTCGTAACCAACCCAATCATGCCCTTCACCCAGCAAACAAGCACCTAATTAAATGCTTTTAGTTGTGATGCTGCTAACATTCTCTCTGTTCATGAAGAAATAAATCAATATCATATTTTAAGGGGGTGGGCAATCAAAACCCGTGAGCTGGAAACCATCTTCTCAACTGTTTACCTCATTAAGGATCAGTGGCGATAAAATAGTCTCATCGGATTAAAATAATTAAACAGACTTAAGGTCTAATATATGTCAAATGGAATTAAAGCTGTAAAATTCATATGGATATAGTAAGGCTTTCCCAGAAAAATTATCTGGATAATTGCCAGGAGTGCTGTGAACTCAGTAGAGAGAGATCCATGAGCCTGGAAAACCATTGATGTTCCCAAAGGAAAAAATATTTTCATCAGTACAAAGAGGTAGAATTGAAGATCCCCACTTGGACAAGGGAACGAGAACCTGAATATGATTTTACTGTTTGATCCTCAAAACTTGTTTACTCCTTATTTGCCTCTAACTTCCACGACAATGAAATAGCTTTCAGGCAACAGTAAAATAAAGGAAAGAATTCTGGGACTGAGGAAAAATGGTTATTTAAATTTTACAATCCCCCAGCTCCACGAGCAGCAGCCCACAAGCGCCCCCATCTGCAAGGACAGAATGTAAGCAAGGAACATGGTGTGCCTTGTGAGCAGGCCGGAGGGAAACACTGAGCGAGCGGTGAATGGTTTCTCCATGGTGAAGAGAGGAGATGTTGGGGGATATGGTCAGTTACCAGAAACCAAAAGAGCTAAATTGCTGACCCAGCCTGGCTAATAGCTGAAAAAGAAATTTTACCGGAGAACAGAGCTATCTTTTCAGAGTTATGTGGCGATCAGTATAACCCTCCCACCTCCTAGACGAAAAAGAAAAGAAGCAGTCGCCATCATCAAGTTGACCCCAACTCATGGCAACCCTACTTGTGTCAGAGTAAAACTATGCTCCATAGAGTTTTCAGTAGCTGATTTTTCAGAAGTAGATCACCAGGGCTTTCTTGCCAGGCACCTCTGGGTGGACGCAAACCTCCAACCCCTCAGGTAGCAGCTGAGCACGTTAACTGTTTGTGCCACCCAAGGGTTCCATCTCCTAGACAATCTTCAGTAACATCTATATGACTCTATAGGCAGGTTTCCTGGTGGAGAGCTATAACAAGTCCCAGGACTGCTACAGAGGTGTGAAGGAGGACTAACGAGGCCAAGAGGCCAGGTAACCAGAGTTTTGCTGGGTTGATTTTTGGAGGACACCCCAACATGGCAGCAGTAGCTGTTTGAACCTATTTGCTTCCAGATGTTTACTCAATGCAGTGGGCACTAAGATAAGAGCTGGAGTGAACCAAAAGGAGCACCATCTTGGGCTGCATAAGGGCTCGTTCTTGGTTCTTCACAGCTCTGTCAAGGACTGTTCAGGACCAGGGGTCCAAACTCCAGAGCCTTCTGGACACTAGGCATGCCCCAAAATGGGAAAAGCTGTTAGGTGTAAGACAATAGGGAATATCAAGGCTTGTTGGAAACTGGAGATTCCAGACCCCGCCAAAAACTTTCAAAGTCAGTAATTTTGGTGAAAAAATTGGTGACCAAACAAAATGTCTGTACACAGCTTTCAAGAACCCTACTGAACTCATCTAAATGTGACCCAGTAAAATACTCAAGTGAACAGCTGACCCAAGGCCAGTAGCCGGGTATTTCAGGCACAACCTCTTCCCAAAGCCATCTTTGCCCATAACCATCATATGTTATCTAAAGAAAATTAAAATGTCATAAATTAACTCCTTTCAGATAATTCTGTATACTAAAAAGGGGGTACCTTTTGCTAGATCATCCACAAACTATGGACACAAAGTATTTTCTCATGGGTCAAACCAGGCTTCAGAAGGTTTAACTATGAATAATTATATTCCCATAAAAGTTGTCAGAGAACTGGGGAGGGGGCAGGCGTGGAGAAAGTAAGGTTACCCAGAAATCTTGGAAATCACAGCAAGTTCCTGCCACAAAATTTATCGCTAAATTGCTAACCCAAATCAGGGCCAAACTGCAGTAACCCAGAGGCATCCACGCCCAAGGAGAATAGGGATCAGCCCTTTGCCTAGGCTCCAGAACTCTTAAAAGTAGGGACTAGTTTACATTGTTTAAGTTCTTGACATCATGGACTATTCCATGAGGACCTCTATCTGACTTTAAATCAACCAAACGGTTGCCACTGAGTCGACTCCAACTCATGGCAACCCCTTGTGTGTCAGAGTAGAACTGTGCTCCATAGGGTTTTCAATGTTTGCTCTTTGGAAGTAGATCACCAGGACTTTCCTCTGAGGCTCCTCTGGGTAGATTTGAACCACCAACCTTTTGGTGAGCAGCACAGCAGGTTAACTGCTTGCACTACCCAGGAACTTTGGGGCTCTGGAAGTACAAACCTGGGTAACTAGAAGGCCCCCCACTCTTGTGGGGCATCACTTCTCAGGTCAGTATACTTTGCGAAGCTGAGAAGGGAAAAAAGAAGGACTTTAGAGAAATCGTTACCTGTAGCTGCTGGTCTAGTTCTGGAAAGACCAGAGGACTGGAGTCTTCAGGAGGTGTATCATCTAAAATGAAAATAAAATGACTCTTTACTAGATAGATCTTTCTCTCAAGACAGTCATCCTGCTGTTACCATCCTCAAGCCTGCGTAATTAAACCACCAATACATACTGCTTCGGTCATTTTGCCACTTCAATTGAGAACCGATTGAATGCAGAGAACATTTTTACTCATTTTCTGTGCAAAGAGAAACATGGCAAGCTTAGTCGACCTGCCCCAGATTTTGCGAACAAATGTTAAGATCTTCCAACATTCGGCCTGATAGCTCTCCAGTAAAAGGTGCGGCTTGTCTTTCAGTATTCCTGCGTTAGCCACAACCCAAAAATAGGATATGCAGAAAAGAGCTTTGACAAGGTGTTGACGAGGTGACCAGAACAATCTCAATGGGACAGAAAAACATATTAGTGAAACAATGAAAGTGTGAGTTCTACTCTGAATGACTCCAAGTATGGCAAGCTCTTCCAACAAACCACCCCAAACAGGCAGTTAACCAGAGCCTCGTTCTCAGCTGCAGAGAGGGTTGTGGGCAACCACCCAGACAGCACCAGGCAGCACTCCCAGCCTCAGGCAGAGCCCACAGCCCGCTGCAACGCAGTCCTCGGCCACATAAAAGGCCTCCTGGCAATAGAAAGGTGTTGTTGGATCAAAATGCAGTTCTCAGATCCATCAGAGGAAACCTGACAGAAGTTTGGCCTAAAATGTCTAAGTCATCCCCGTGTCTCTTCTAGAACATGCCGCTGGCTCAGCCCCGGTGCCAGACGGCAGCCCCTTGTCCTCAGAACCTCCGTCTCTCTGGGCCGACCTCTGGTTCTGGGAGGTTCCTTGTCCACGCATTTCCATTCCCAGCTTATCGACAACTCTAGTTAGTACATATGCTATGACAACAAGACAGAATACAAGCTGAAAGAATAATAATAAAAAAAAAAGATATTTTAAATTTTAATAAAGAAAGGAAAGATAATGGTTTTCATGTTCTCACTGCCATAATCAAATTTATTTGTAAAAACTGATGGATGTTCGATTCGAACTAGAGGAAGTGCTCCGGGCCTCACCTAATGCAGACACAAGCGCCCTCTCTCTAGCACGGTTTGCTAATCAAACGCAGCAGGCAGGGGGCTCTTGGCTTCTAAGTGATTACCGTTCTTTGAAGATAATCACCAGAAAGGTAATTCAAATGAGAACAGTATTAACCTCAGCCAGACACCTCAAGAATCACAGCATTTAAGAGTCCCTGGTGTATTTTAGTCAAGGTAGTATAATAATGTTCTCTTTTAAAAGTAGCTTAAGAAAATGACAATGCGTCCCCAAGTCCGTTGTGCACTTGTACCTGTGCCGTGACGTATTCACTGACACTATTTAGTGTCACAGAACAAGTAGAAACTGAGACATATTCCGCGAGACCCTTGCCACAGGCTAGAGGACTGCCTTAAGAGCAAACATGGAGATTCAATCCACAGGTCCTTTTAATGCTGTCTTCCTATTCAGACTGTTGTTCTTGTGTGCTGTCGTTCTATTCTGACTCACAGTGACCCCAGGTGACACAGTAGAACTGCCCCATAGGGTTTCCTAGGCTGTAATATTTACAGAAGCCAACTGCCACCTCTTTCTCCCACAGAGCAGCTGGTGGGTTTGACCACCGACCTTTGGGTTAGCAGCGGAGCACTTAACCACTTTACCGTCAGGACTTCTTACTAAAACCAAAAGCCAAACCAAACCCAATGCCGTAGAGTCGATTTCAACTCATAGCGACCCTATAAGGCAGAGTAGAACTGCCTCATAGGGATTCCAAGGAACCGCTGACCTTTTGGTCCGCAATCTGAGCTCTTAACCACTGCGCCACTAGAGCTTCAGGCTTCTTACTAGAGGCGACTAATTCTGCCAATTACTGTCGTTTTTTAAATCCACAAAGTCATTTGCAAAGAACTGGACAAAAGACAGAAATCTTCCTTTGGTACTGCTGACCTTCTGGAGGTAGTTGTAATTATAAAAACCATACTTCCTAAAACTGGCTTTGCTCTTAGGTGCTTTCACATTTACTCAAGCACGATTTCAATAACCTAGATATCACGATTATGTTTGCTTGTTGGCTTCAAGGCCAGAATGATTTGGCGCAGGTGAATGAGAACACATTATGCTTTGGCATCCCAGCCCTAGTGATCATAAGTGTGCAGCTGGGAACACATTATATTTTGGCATCCCAATCCTAATAATCATAAGTGAGCAGACACTCTGGAAGGAGAAACCATTTCTGTAGAGTACTGGAGTAAACTGGGCATTCTAGAATTCTAGAAGACAGATGGATACGCAACTCAGGGCTTCCTGGGACGATCCAGCTAGCTCCCTGTGAAGTCACACTCCTTCCTGCTCACTTATAAAAAAGGAAAGAAAAAGTTATCCATCTGTTTTACTGCAGTGTTAGCAACTCTGATGTAAATAGCAAATACCTGGCATGACTCAGAATCAACAAGGTCCATTACGGAAACCTAAGTAGTTCGTTACAGTCACACCACGTGTTGCTGTTGGGGGCTGCCCTCTAGTCCATTCTAACTCATGGCGACCCCTCGTGTGCAGAGTAGAACTGCTCCATCGGGTTTTCAAGGCTGGGACCTTTCGGAAGCAGACCAGCACATAGAGGCGCGTATGTGTGACCATGCCGATATTTTTGCAGATAAATCAAGCCTTAGGACTGGATTCCTTGAGTTAAAATAAAAGAATAATGGATTGACATCAAAATTTAACATGACTTAGAGAGACAAGCAAAATCAAAGTAAGACTTCTGTTAAAGAATGGATCAAGCAGGATCTATCGGAGCAGGAGACGGTGCAGAAACGAGAAAACCGAAGCAGAGAGAAGGATACTACCAGGTCTGAAGGCCAGACCTCCACTTTACTAGTAGACACCACCTGGTTTCGCTGGCATCCTGGCCAGCCAGAAATTTCCGGGCTTACGAAGCTGCTTACAAAGCTGCTCTGAGTTCATGTGTGGTGTGTTTACTTTTAAACGGTGGCTGCCTTCTTTGACTGGTTTTAAAAATAGGCAAGTATTCTAAAAGCAGAATGATGAATCACAGGACTAGGCCAAAAGGAAGAAGGAAAAAAGGCTCAGGCAGAGTAGTAGCACAGCTGTTCCACAAACATTTGGCCGTGTCACCGTAAAACATTTTGACGGTGACACTGGATCAGAGTTCCTCAGAGCAATTAAGCTTGTTTTGACAATTCCAGAAGCACAAAGCAAAGTACAGTAGGTATGCAAGAGAAAACCAGAAACCCAAACCCACCGCCGTCGAGTTGATTCCGACTCATGGCAACCCTATAGGACAGGGTAGAACTGCCCCATAGGGTTTTCCAAGGCTGTAAATCTTTAGGGAAGCAGACTGTCACATGGCTCTCCAATGGAGCAGGTGGTGGGTTCGAAGCACTGATCTTTTGGTTAACAGCCGAGTGCTTCAACCACTGTACCACCAGGGCTCCTTCTATGCAAGAGACCTCTCTGGAAAATTCAGCTTTTTAAAAGACAAGAACAGCTGGTAGATATGTTTATAGTGCAACAACATCACAGTACAAGTACATTTTTATTAAAACATATTTATTTACCAAATATTTATTGAATGTCTATTATGTGCAAGGCAGGGACTAAGTGTCTGTACTAAGATGGAAAATCATTTTATCATATTTTTTTGATGCATTAAAGAAGTCTTTCGTGGGCTTCCTTTCCAAAACGGCATTGTGGAGTTAATGGACGAAGCAAAATATATATATATATCCTAAGAATTTTGTTGAAGGATGAAATATAAAGGAAAAAATAAAGAGGAATTTTTTTTTTTAATAAGCAGATGTTCACTGCCTGTTCGGCAGACGCAAAGTGACTAAGTCAATGGTACTTAAAATAGAGCTTTCCTCTCCGAATCCCGACCATTATGACATACCATAGTACATTTTTGGACAGGCTTGTCTCAGCATCTATTGAGCAGCTGTTGGGGTGCTTTTGTGGTTATTTTGTTGTCGGGTTTTCTGAAATTGCCTCTGCCGCCTTGCTCCATGAGTCAGATCAGTGGGACACATGGGGTCTGTAAGCCAAACCCTCACTGTTGTTCAGCAATGAGCGCTACGCAATCAGAGTGGTCAGAGAGAATGTGGGAGCTGGAAGGGGCGAAGCCACCATCTGCTCCTGTCCCCTCCGAGTAGAGCTAAGGACAAGGACCCTGAGAGCAGAGAGAAGCCACCCAAAGCTTCACAATCAGCGGCCAGGGTAGAGGCAAGTCTTGTGACTCTCCTTTCTTTCCCCTCACCGCTCTGCCTTTCTTCACCTTGGATCCATGGATTCCCAGGCTGTTGCACAAACTTTCCCCCAAATCCTGGGAATCACGTCTTAGATTGTCCAGCTTCTTACTTGACAAGTGAAGATTATTTTAAAACAACTACTGTGTACCATCATTCTCACTTTCAGAAGAGAGAATGTTTTGACCCCACAACAGTAGGACACCCAGAAGCTTAGGATAAAGGATTATCCATTATACTGGATGAATTTAGCTTTATAGACAAAAGCAAACACACACACAAATTAAAAAACGGCCATGTCCTGATCTCTTTTGTTTCATAGGAGAGAGGTGAAGACGTCATCAAAACCAGACTAGATCTGCTGAGTAGCATTTGAGAACCACTTTGCTCTAGGAGATTAACCGGAAGGTTGGTTGTCCAAACCCACGCAGCCACACCGTAGAAGAAAGGCTTGGTGATCTGCTTCTACAAAGACTGCGGCCATGAAAACCCTACGGCATTCAGTTCCACTCTGCAATACATGGGGTCGCCATGAGCCGGAGTTGACTCGACAGCAACAGGTTTGGGGTTTTTTTGGGTTTGCTTCTAGACAATGAGTTGATTGGACTTTGAAGTCAGTTATCTCCCCCTCCCACTGTGCTCACCATCATAGACATAATCAGGGTCTAGGCTAGGAAGCTTGAAATCTCTGGTAGAAAGATTTTAGGTTTCCATGCAGTGGAGAAGAC